GGATTTGACCGGGGTGAAATCCTCTTGGTTTGTGTTACGGTAGACCATGGTGACATGCTAGAATAATTTTGAGCACACGACTACACAAGATTCCCTCCCGGCGGTGCCAAGTGCGGCATCAACACTGTAGGTGGATAACCTTCCCGTGGGGCTGTCGTGTTTTATGTGGCAAGTGTTGCAAGAAAGTTGTGTATTGGATATTTAAACATCAAACCACCCTTTAATACATATATTTGGACCACATGCAGGTGGGTGTGTTGTTCCAACCCTCCCTCGCACGGTTTCCGGAGATGAACCGATATGCAAGGCTTGCACGATCTACGCCTTTGACTGGACTCGAGAGGGGTTTGACTGGGGTGAACTCCTCGTGGTTTGTGTTATGATAGACCATGCTAACATTGTAGGTGCATATCCTTCCTACAAGATTGTCGTGTTTGTGTGGCAAATGCCACACCAAAGTTGAGTGTTGGATGTTTAAGCATCACACCACCATTTCATGCGTATATTTGGACCACCTACTGGTGGGTGTGCTCTTACTACCTTCCCTCGCATGGTTTTCAGAGATGAGTCAATCCGCAAGGCCCACGCGATCTACGCCTTTGACCGGACTCGAGAGGGGTTTGACCAGGGTGAACTCTACTTGGTTTGCATTACGGTAGGTCATCGTGACATGCCACACCACGTTAGTGCACATACCTTCTCAAGATTCCTCAACGGTAGTGCTAAGTGCGGCACCTCTATAGGTGCAGAACCTTTATGCGGTATTGTTGTGTTTATGAGGCAAGTTTCGCATCAAGTGTTGTATTGGGTATGTATACATCACACCACACTTTCATGCATATATTTGGGATGCATGCTGGTGGGTGTGCTCTTTTGACTCTCCCTCGCACGGTTTTCAGAGATGAACCGATCTGCAAGGCCTGCGCGATCTCCTTTGACTGGGCTCGAGAAGGGTTTGACCGGGGTTAACTCCTCGTGGTTTGTGTTACAGTAGACCATGATGACATGCCGGAATAATATTCAAGGATAAATGGAGAGAGATGAGAAAATTGAGGGCATGGAAAATAAGGTCATGAAAACTGTCGGGGCAGAATGATTGCGGAAGAGAAGAAAGAAATAATATTTAAATGGTAAATATATATATGCAACCAAAATCATTTTAAAACTTATGTTCTTGCAAATTTTTTGCAAAGGATAAGCCGAGTGTATTCAGGAAGCACTCGGCTTATATTACATGTAAGCCGTGTGTCTGACGAAAGCACTCGGCTTATAAGGCGTATAAGCTGAGAGCCATGATGGGGCGCACAGTTTATAGGCTGCTTCGTGACGACGCCGTCAACGACCTTCATTGTAGACACGTAGCAAATACCGTGTGCATTATGGAAGCCGAGGGCTTTTCGGGGCACTCGGCTTACAAGACATTATAAGCCGAGTGCTTTTTGTTTGCCGGGTGTTATTTACCCCACACTTGGTTTAGAGGGAACATAAGCCGAGTACCCGATAAATAGCTCACGGCTTATAGGCTAACACACGGGAAAATGGGATTTTCCTGTAGTGAGATAGGCTCTCAGCCGTCCAATTATTCCAGAGTCTAGCTGTCTCCCACCTTCATAATATTTGCCTTTCCAATTCCATACAAGGCAATTCATCTCCTAACTTTCCAGTAGCACGGATGTCCCCAGCCAGCTTGTCGCTGCTTGGGTATCTCAGCCAAGTGATCAGGCTGGTCCCGGGGTCCAAAGTTCACCGCACCGGCGAAGACCCGTACGGTGAGGTCAAGATCTGCCCAACCAGTCAAGGATGGCGTGAGGTGAGCAGTCAACTCACGCACATGGCAAGAACCCCGTCGGGTATGAATTATTCCGTTCACTCCATCCCGGCCGGCACCACAGGTTCATTATGATCCGGCTCCTCCTCATCTTCGCTTCCCTCCTCCGACTGCTGCCGCCGGGCAGCGCGGCAGATCCCCTTCCCTGCTCGCCCAGAACATGTGGCAACCTGAGCATAGCCTACCCATTCTGGCTGGAGGAGGACGGCCAGCCGCCATGCGGTGCCCCGTCCTTCCAGCTCAACTGCAACGCCAGCCAAGCTCTCCTCAGCCGCTCCATGTTCGGGAGCTACCAAGTCGTCCAAGTCTTCGCCGAGAACTCCTCCTTCGTCGCCGTGGACAACAACCTCCCGCTCGACGACGGCTGCCCCAAGTTTTGGTTCAACATCTCGCTAGGTCTCGGGCTGAGTCCGTTCGTCGTCAGCAGCAAGAACATGGAGCTGCTCGTCCTCGACAACTGCAGCAAGCAGGAGACGCCGCCGGGATTCAACCGCACAAGTTGCGCCAACTAGTCCTTCTACCGACTTGGCGGCGAGTATGGCAGCCACCGCAAACTGGCCGGTCTCCCGCCGGCCTGCCGTCTCTCGGTCGTGCCGGTTCTTGGTGTTCCGGACGGCGACAGTTACGTCTCGAGCATGAGACAGGGGTTCCTGCTTGAGTGGACGGTACCGTCAGACGTGTGCCCCAAGTGCGAGGCAAGCGGCGGGCAGTGCAGGTATGCCAACGACGGCACCGGGTTTTCCTGCAGCTGCGACGACGGCCTGCGCCCCGACAAGTGCGGTGAGTCCAGAAAATTAGCTAGCTCTGCTCTCCATTTATATCTGTAAATGTTTATTTACATGCAGCACTCTTGCATAGTTTTAAAACAAGGTCAGCAAATTAACTCTGCACATTGATTCTCATTCCTTTGTCAATTCTTACACCTTTTAACTTGAAAAGCAAACTATGGTATTCGCATGAAAAAATTTCAAGTGCCGAAACAGTGATATTCAGAGGGGTTGCATCACATCGCACCTATCCTTTCGAAAGATCATTCTTCAACCAGTTCAAGTACTTAGGCCAACTCCAACACACGACCCCAAATGGTCCGGCCGCGTCCGTTTAGGGGTAAACGGACACAAAATGCGGCCCAACACGCGGGAGCAAACGGACAAACGTCCGTTTTTCATCCACTTTTGATCCATTCCTCGCCCAAATTTGGCCGCGTTTACGTCGAAACGAACATGCACGGACGGGCGGGACGCGCGCCCTTGTCCCCCTGGCCCGCCGTCGGGGACACAACCCTCTTTCTCTTCCATGCCCTCCCTCCGCCCCGCCATTGCCGCGCCACCTCATCGATACCCTATTTTCCCGGCAGCCTTCCTCGCTTTCCTGCTAGGCCGTCCGAACCACAACCACGCCAATGCCAACCAGGTTTGCTGCCTGTGAGGGGAACTCGAGGTGCTCTTTCCGGCCGCATCTCCACCACGACCGCAACGTGTTCGAAACTTTTCTCACAAGGTACCATGGATGGTGGGAGTATTTATTTCACAACTTCATTTTTTCATCGGATGATTCGTTCTCGGATGACGAAGACCTTGTGGTGGCTGCATTGGTCATCAATGAACACATTGTTGGGCAGCGGCCTCGGTTCAAGAGATCAATCCTGGATCATGCTTCGGCCTTGAATCGCAATAGGGAGAGCGGCCGCGCCCTACTCTATGCCGATTACTTTGAGAACATCGCGCTCTTCAAACCAGTGAACTCACCTTGACAATAGTAGATGTATCGATCCATTTCTATTCAAGACAATTTTGATTGAGTTGTAAAACTATTTGATTGTGTTTTTATTTGGATGTGGAACTGTTTGTTTTGTAAAACTATTTGCAATGTTTGATTTATTTGGTTATTTGCATTATTTGGTTATTTGTATAGACACATAGGGCCTTCAGCCGGACGAGATGCGTCCAAGATGCGGCTCGGTGTTGGGCGCACGACCGGCACATCCAGAAAAATGAGCGGGCGCCGCCCCATTGCCCTACCCAAACAGACAAAATTCAAACAAAATAGATGTCCATTTGGGGTTATGCGAGTTGGCCTCAAGTCCTCCGGCCCCGGTCTTCCGTCGGACCCCTATCTATTTGTCTCTAAATTCACATGCCTGTTAACTGAACTCACAAAATTGCATAACACGCTGCTAGCTGAAAACCTTTTTGTTGTATTGAACTAGCGAAAAAACTGAAGTACATTTAATAGACTATAAACAAGAAGTGATCCACTTGCTTCAAAAATTATGTGGGACCCCTACACACATCATCTAAAATCGAAGCACGGGTCCAGCGGACCCTTGACGCACACCGCATGTGCATGCTCCAGATGTCGCCGCTGCCGTCTCCCGCGAAAAAGGGGTGATGTCTACATGTAGAAATGTGCAACTGAAGATTAGAGGTTTTTCTTTATGCATGTGCGTTCTTTCTGTTTGTTGCTAATGTTTTTTTGTGTGTGTGTGTGTGTGTTCGAGTTTGGAACTGTTTTTTCTTCTGGATAAAGTGTGAAGGTTCTACAATGTTAGAATCTAGCTAGATAGCTGACAGTACCACAAAGCAACCAGAACAGTACTCCCTGGGTTCCAAAATAGATGACCCAACTTTATATTAACTTTGTATTAAAATTAGTACAAAATTGAGTCATTTATTTTAGAACGGAGGGAGTAATAATCAGGCTAAGCATCCTGGTCCCAGTCACATCAGCTCGCGGAGGTCATGGCCATGGACCCCGTCAAAGTCGTTGCACGGAAATTTCCAAGGCCACCGGATTACCAGTCCAATAGGCCAACTGGGAAACTTCGTGGAAGATGATCGCTTGGCCAATTTTTTCCGGTGAAATGTTGCGGCCAATGGTAGTAGTCCGCTCGCTTGCCGTCCACATATATTATGGTTCGTGCTTCGGGCCTTCGACAACGGTATTATCTCTTACATGCAGTCTCTACCTTCCCATAGCCCATGACCACCGAATCCAGCTACCTCGCCTTGTTCTTCACCACAATTCCTCCAAATCATCCGCTCCCATGTCTCTCAGCTGCTGCTGGTTCGTGGTCTTCGTGGGGGTGTGGTGGCTGCTGCTGATGCTCGTGGTGGCCGAGGACCAGCAGGGTGGAGACTGCTCGGCCCAGAAGTGCAGCAACGTCAGCATCATGGATCCATTCTGGCTCACTGACAAAGTTACGGGAAGATCATGCGGTTCTGCAGATTCCTACCCGGACTTCGGTGTCGCTTGTAGCAACAACAGTTATCCCACTCTGCGGAGCTCTATACCCCTCAACAATGGTTTTAGAATCCTCAACATCTCTTACGAGGAACGCAGCTTCCATGCCGTTGATCTCGGCAAGCTGGACGTGTTGAGCGCCACTGACAAGTGTCGTGCAGCGTTCTATAACACCTCAGTCAAGCTGAACCACCGGTTCAAGATTGCCCCCGTCAACCTGAACCTCATCCTCTACAACTGCACGGAGGAGAGTGGAGCAGCGGCGGCGGCACGTCGGAACGGAGAGCTGGCGCAGACGAGAGTGAGCTGCGGGAACGAGTGGGCGGTACTTGCACGCGCGGGAGTGCCTCACGACGTGACTGGGAAGTACGCCGGCTACGCTTTGGAGGGCTGTGATGCTTCCGTCATTCCAGTGCTGGGCTCGTCGGCAGGGGTGAACGCGAGAGACTATGAGCAACTCTTCAAGGATGGCTTCCTCTTGACATGGGATCGTCCGCCTGGTACTGGTAAGCTCACATACCTTACCGTTTTACTCCTTTCCTTACAATGTGCAGTGCAATCAGTTAATGCAACTTATTGATAAGATAGCACCGCGTTGAGTTGAATTTGCATTGAAATCGAGTTACTCATAGTTGATCAAAGGAGAGTTTTTGTTATCCAAAAAGAGAAAGGTTCAAAGTTCAAATAACACGGGTTAGAACTTCAAAATGATCTTGTCTAGCATTTTCCTCACTTTAATGTTTATTGCAAAGAGAAACACCTCTAATTGGCGGCCCAACACTATTGCAAAGAGTAATTAGCTGCCGTAGATGATTTAGAAACAACATATAATGTGACAAAAAAATTTGGACCATAATCATGAAAAAAGACAATAAAACCCGAGGGACCTTCCCACTACTCGAAATACTCCACTGTGGCTAGTGCCATGTTGAGAGAGGGAGAGATATGAGGGTGCTGGGCGAGAACATACCGATACATAGTACCATGGCGTTGTTTTCTGCAAAGCACAATCATCGCACCAAATTCGTCCCTTTGAACTTTTATTTTGGACCATAATCATGAGAAAAAAGGCGAAGAACTTTTATTTTGGTGGCGCATGATTCTTCATAGGAGTTATGCAATAGGACTTTGGGTGGCACATATGATTCTTCGCAAGAGTTATGGAATACTGCACCAACAACAATCTGATGTTGACTCTCCAAAGTGGGTGTGGAAAAGTAATAGCATTGACCGAACCAGTCCAACTATTCATGGCGGCTTGTATGGGAGGAAAATATTCATGGCGGTTGAAATGTAAATTTTTTTACAAAAGTAAAATTTCCAATACATACACACAAAATTTTGCAAGATGTGTGTATTTTTTTCGTGATTGAAAAACATGTGTGGAGGTCTGAACCAAAAAAAATCAAATGTTTTTTCACCATAAAATTTTGCATGTTGGTAAAACATTCATCAATGGTTGTCTAATTTGTTGTTCCTATTTAGATTTACATTTAACAAGTCCAGAAACTAGAGGTCCGGATATAGGGGCTCTACTTTGCAAGATGAGTGTATTTTTTTTTCTGGCCAAAATCCATAAAGTGGGGAATAGAGGGTGTATTCTATCATTGGATTGCTGACAAAACTCATTGTCATGAAAGGCCCCTTTTGCAGACAAGTCGGCTCCTCTCCTCTCTTCACCTACTACCTCATGCATGAAGCATCCGCGCTTACAAGTTAGACGTAGTGTCATTCTCCATCTTAAAATACAACAAATAATTCACCCGTTCGGCCTCGGATTGGATCCAGTATCATAATGCGCTCTCTCGCCAAGCTACTGCTCATAATACTATTCCTGCCTCTGCTTGGCGCCCCCGGTTCGCGCGCGCAGTCGCTGGACACGAGCCGCGCGCCGGCAGCGTGCGGCAAGCCGGCAACCTGACCATCACGATCCATTCTGGCTGTGCGGCCACCACGAACCTAGCTGCGGCTACCCGACCTTCGGCGTCACATGCGACGACCCCACTGGTGCCACGCCGCCCAGCCTCGGCGAGTCCTACCCAAGGTTTTGGTTACCAGTTGAAATTTCAAGATTTTCCATGGTTACCACGTATTTTCATGCCCCTCGATAAATCCACTTACCAAGCAAAAAATAGCAGTTTTTTGAATTTTTTGAATTTAAACACTTGATTTGTAGTAAAGTACCTAGGATCTAATTAATGACATGAGAGTTGGTTCTGGCGTGTTGGTAGCAACCTAGTTCCTGTTTTGAGAGGTCACTGGTTCAAATGTTCGTTCATTAACTTATTTGAATTCAAAATTCAACTATAAAATTCGGTCGAAATATTCTCGGTATTTATCAGTATTTCTCGGTAACTGTGGTAACTGCGTTTGCCAGTCCCCCTCAGTAAAAGTGCCTAATTCGGTAACCAAAACCATGGTCCCACCTCCGCCTCCTGGACATCAACGACGGCAACTGCTCCGTCGTGGCCTTCCACAGCAGCCTCGCCGCCAACAGCAGCCCCTGCCGCGTGACGCGGTTCAACCTGTCCAGCAGCCTCACGCTCTCGCCGCTGGCCGTCAGCGGCGCCAATTGGGAGCTCTTCTTCTCCAACAACTGCTCGCGTGCGCCGCCGTCGCCCGCGGGGGCGCTCTGGCTCAATAATTGCTCGGGTACGTGGTCCGTGCACCTCGGAGGGAGGTACGAGGCTGCAGCGTCGCGGCCAGCGGAGTGCAAGTACTCGGTGGTGCCGGTGCTGCCCGGGGCAAAGCTGACGGCGTGGGCTGACTACGCCCGAATCGTCAGGCGCGGGTTCCTGCTGGAGTGGACGGTGCCCAGGGACTGTGCCGCGTGCAGCGCGACCGGTGGGGGGTGCCGGTACGAGGCCGGCGCGGATTCCTTCGGGAGCCTCTGCCCCGGTGGCAGCATGTACCCGGCGACTGGCGGTGAGTTGCTTGTCATGGTCCATGTACCAGCATGCGGACATTCTTTTACTTCTTTCACTACCGTGCATGCTTAGCAACCTAGTAGAACGAACTGTAGTGATAAATATGATTCGACTGAAAGGAATAGTGTTAACCTTGATTGGATGATATGTTTCTGTTAGTAGAATACACTTACATAGCTGCCAAAATGAGTAGTACTCGGAAGCTGAAGAATAACAATAACCGGATCATGCATCACGGAAGCTGTAGAATATCATTACCCGGATCATGAATCATTGATCACGCATCATTCTGATCCGGTTGGGTCATATTTTTCACCGCCGACGTTTGTGGATTTGAGAAGGTCGACTGTAGATGCTCTACGAGGCTATTTTTACTCCGCTGGCAGAAAAAGAAATGTCCTTTTTCCCGTTAAGTAGGTGAGAATGCGTTCAAACTATCCTATCAAGAAAAACAGATGCGTTCAAACCAAAAACCGGGACCGACGACCATCGTCTGGTCACTGGAAACCGGGACCCGAGGACCCCACTGGCCGGTGAGTGCCGTGGTGATCTCCACTTAAGTCAAACTTCCGTGACAACGAGCAAGTCAAAACAACAGGCAATCTTGCATGCCTGAATGTCCGGTCTCCCGTGTGTGCTTCTTTTCAGCATCTTCTTCTCAATTCTTATCATCATCAGCTGCTGCTCTTCACTGCACGCATCATACGCCCGCCTCACTATCTGCGCCTTCGGTTAGCCTCTTCAATCTTCCATTCCCATGTAACAAGATCGATCGACCGATGCATCCGTTTCGTGTCCCGGCCACCACCACCGCTGTGCTCTGCTCAGCCACAGTACTGCTGACTGCCATGTTCACTACCACCGCCTTAAACACCACTATGCCGACGTTGCCGTCATTCTCCTCCTCCTGCGACCCGGCGACGCGCGGGGTCTGCGCATCGAGTACCCATTCTGGCTCGGCGGCACGCACCAGCGGGAGTGCGGCTACCGCCCCTTCCAGGTCACGTGCGACCGCAACAGCAGCGGCATGGCCTTCCTCGAGAACTCATTCTGGAAGTAACCGATCCTTGACATCTCCTATCAAAACAACTCATTCCAGGTCTCCAACGTCAAGCTCTCTGACGGCACGTGCAAGGTCGTCGAGCTCAAAGTAAACACCTACTCCGACATCGGCTTCGTGCCCTTCAGCATCAGCCCCGCCAATCAGGAGCTCTTCTTCCTCTACAACTGCACAGACCTCCGGATGATGCCGCCTAAGTGGGCACCCGTGAACTGCGCCAACGGGTCGCTCAACAACCATGGTTTTAAATAGCGCGCTATAGACCAAACACATGAACAAACATTTTAAATAGTGCGCTATAGCATGCTATAGCATTTACAAGAGGTCCGTTGCTTAGAGGCTTAGCGCGCCGGTGAGTACAAGCCCGACAACAAATGGGGGCCAGTGTCAGCGAACTGCACGGTGTCAATGACACCGGTGCTGGGGTACCCGGGGGCGACTGCGGTGGACTACCGCTGGCTGATGAAGGGCGGGCTTTGTCTCGAGTACATGGCCAGCGACTGCACAGCATGCAGGGAGACTAGTGGGCTTTGCCGCATCAATACAACCTATGATATCTTTGAGTGCCACTGCCCTGACGGCGTGTCGGACTTCATCATTTGCGGTAAATTCAAGTACCTAACGGCAGTTCAATCTTAGGTTTAAAGAATTTTGAATTTTCGTGTAAAGAATTTTCACTTGGTACTGCATGTATATTCATAAATTTTATTTGATTCAGCTAGTTAACAGGTTTAGTCCATGAGGTTTCGTTGTCTAATTACTAGTTCTCAAGAACAAAGACTAGAACAATGATATCCGTAAATTTCTTTACGAAAAGGTGTGACGACACCCAGGTGCCCCGACACCCGGTTATCCCGTCCGTTGGCAGTGTTCAAGATTCGTGCTAGAGAATTCTGCAGTGCAGACGCTTGTACAGTAACAGGGCGATTAGCAGGCTTTCTTTAGGGAGACAGATAGCGACAGGAGGAGAGAGGCATGGCAGGAATAGGCCTGAAAAGGTATTGCGGTCCACGGGCTTGTTTTTCTTGTTCATTGAAGTGACAACACCTGCATGCGCCCAGCGGCATGAGGCATGAGATGATATTCTATTTCGCACACCCTGCATCAACGTTCCTTTGTCATCATTGTGAGGTTACTTGGTCCGTTTCTCTCAGTTTAGCGTTTGTTTTTATTTTTATTTCTTGAATATGGACCTTTATAATATAACATAGGTATGCGTGGTAGCACTTGTGTTTGGGAAAAAGCATATTCATGTATCTAAGCACAGAAGATCCTTGGATTCCCAAGGAAGCATGGAGCAACAGAACTTTTTGACTCGGCGTCCATATCCTATTTTCTAACACATCAGCTCTGTCCAAAAGCAAAAGGCCACAGTGCCACTCTTCACACGAGCAGACAGCTAGTCTCTTGCGCTTTCCTGTTTCTTCTTCCTCTACGCCTCTCCCCAAAATCCATCTATCCCCAACAGGCCAACGTAGTGACGCTCAGAAATATTGCAAGATTCAGACGGTGATTCATGTATCTGTACCCGGCCCACATGTTCATGGCACAGGTATAGCTTGCTACACGACGAGGGAGTGCGACCCAGGTCAA